ATCAGGATAGAGGGATAGCTACCACCAGAGAATAAGGACCAGGCCGCTTCCATCTTTTCCAGGTAGTAGCTGAATCCCCTGGATTTTGTGTCAATCTAGGGAGGCGAGGCTCCTCCAAATATAACATATTGAATTCTTGATAGTCTTCTGAGTAGGTGCTCAATGCCAGATTTAGTTTGATTGAGGAAAAATAAATTGATGTTTTGCTGCATAGGAGGGTGGTGGACCAGGTCCCTGCCCATCACACAGACGTTTTCTAATTTTATACTCACAGGAACCATTTTCGGCTCCAGCAGCAGCTCTCCACCTCATTTTACAGATGAGGCTTAGGGAGGTTAAGTAACTTGCCCAAGGCCATACACATGCTGCAAAGAATCCCAGCTCTGCCTGATTCCAGAACCCATGATCCTTATCATACTGCAGATGATTTGGGCTACTCTGTAATTAAAAAAAAAAAAAGACAGACAGATTTAACTTTGCAAATAATTATAAATTAACTACATCATCCAAACATGGAGAAAGAAACCAAAGTCAACTTAATTTTATATATTCTTAGATATAAATTTGTGCTGTGTCAGTTTTTTTTAATGACATAAAAATTCTAGCATAGATTTAACAGGGACTAAAATTTTAAGTTAAAAAACTTAATTCTCAGCCCGGAGCTGTTCACTAAGTATCCAAGTGAAGAATGTGGTACCTTAGTTTAGTATTCACCAAGCAACTATGACATGCCAGACCTGTACTGGGCAGTCCTAATCTCTGAGGATAAAATTCAAATTCCTTGGCTTCACAAAGTCACCTGCTAGCATCATCTTCATCCCTCGCCTAAAAACATCATCTTCTCCAGCTATACTAAACTGCTTGCATGTGACACTTAACACTGGCAACTCCATTACAGCACATACCCTCCAGAAGCTAAAAGTTTTTTGCATGACTATCGCCTCCTAGCCTCTAGGTTTAATGAAAAGAGGGGCTATATTTTAATTTCTATATCCCTAGTACCTAGCTCGGTGCCTAGCACGTAATATTCAAATACTATTCATAGAATGGATGAAAGAAAAACTGAATAAAATTGCAATTTTAAAAGTACTTGGTCTGTTTCCCATATTTGCAAGACTAACCTCTGACCCTAATGTCTTTCCCCAAACGGTAGATTCATATTATGAGAATCTTTCAGCACCACTAATCAGACCCAGTAAATTCTGGCTGAGAGCAAGAGAAAGGGGATAAATAGAAGGCAGGAAAGCTGCCAGCTCAAAGTCTGCATTTCCAGGCAAAAACAAGTAAATGCATTTGCAAAACTGGGTGTATATCCCAAGGGATGCAAATTGGTCATAGGCTTTGGCAACAAGCCTATTTTGCTTTAAAGCACACCTCTTAGTACAAGGTTAGGAAAACCAGAAATTCCCATATATAAATAACTGATCAAAACTTGTAAGAGAATTTGACAAAAACAACCCCAAACTCTTAGAAACCAGTTAAGTAGACTATTAAATAACTACAGAAAGTAAATGACTACATTTAGCACAAGAGTCAGATTTAACTTTAAAAAACAAAAAAGAAAAGCAAGCCACTAATTTTAATTTCAGATCATTGTTGAAAACACAATTGAATATTATAAAAAGGAGGGAACAAGCAAAACTTTTAGTCCTGAGATTGTTAACTATTTTGTAGACACAGGAGGCATAAATATGTTGGAAAGGTAGATAGCATAGATAGCCAAGTACTATACTTAGACAGGAGTAGAAAGATACAGGGAGAGAGCCAATTAGGGAAGAAAAATGGCTTAAGATTAAACAGCCAGCCAAATGTATGAGGCTTGTCCAGGCTGAAAGTCATCCTTTGGTTACTGCAGGTGATGAGTTTATCATAGGGATAAATGGGGACATCTGAACTCACAATTCAGGACACAAGATGAAGCTACCACAGTCTGAGACCAGCTCTAATGATCCAACAGCACAGCTGGCCAAGCTATCATTCAGTCTCTCTGCCTCTTGGCAGTTTGGGGCAGTTTCTGCTTGTTTCTTCTCCCTTCTCCACTATGACTACTTTCTCTCTGCTTTAGGGCTTTGTTAATTCATGGTTTCTTTTGGGCCTCTGCTTTTCTAGCAACTCTTCCTGCTTACACTCTGTCCTGACTCAAACTTGCAGTAACAGAGATTCTGACTGGGTCAGCAACTCACTGTCAAGGATGCAAAGCCTCTATGGGGCAAAGCTCTTGTGCCAGCTGGTTTCATGAATTCCTCAAGGCCTATAAAATGGCTAGCTGCTTGAGGGCCAGGCACCAATTACTGACCCATTCAGCTGTGGCTGAGAAAGAAAAGTGAAATAATCCAACCAAACTTGACCAACTTCCTGCTTTGTTCAGACGAGGGCTGAGGGTGTAGCAAGCCCTCATAGAGCCATCTAGTATACAGTGGTCCCATCCAATCTACAACCATTAAATTTCATACTCTAGATTCAAGCACCTCTCATTGAAATATAAATGGTTTATAACATAAAATTGGAAAAGGAAAGACTGAAGATGATGACGGGGGAAAACTGAGGAAATACTCTATAGGAGGGCAAGGACAGAATCCTGAGCACTGATGGAGAGCTGGCCTCAGAGAGCAACATCTCTTTCACAGAACTGAAGAAGGGAGAAAAAGAATTCATGCGTGTTGGTTTTCACCTCTTTGGTAAAGTTAGAGGAATAAAATGCCGATAGTTAAAGGATGAGAGGGATTAGGAGCTTGAGGATAATAAAGGAGCTTTGGAAGAACCATTGTAGGGAACATACAAGTGGACAAAATATTGATTAAAGAAAAAACATTGCCAAATATAGGACTCAGAAGTTCCAGTAATATCTTGATAAGCACTATTTGCAGAAAGTCAAGTCAGATGTTCTCCAGCAACTCAAAGTTGAGCAGACATCTTAAGGTTAAGGGTTGAGACCACGTAAAATACAAAAAGTCTCTAGGATGTTACCAGTGAGGGAATCTACCATATAAATGAGACAGAGATCTAATAATGAAAAGATATGAATGGAACATGCACCTGATAATTCAGCAAAGTCATTCATAATTGGATATAATATGTAGGCAAACAAAGGAATGAGGACACTTCCCTTCCACAGTTTAGCATGCCTGCTTATGAAGAAAAGAAATTAAACGTCAACTCCTTGTAAAAGAATTCTTCATGTATGATAATTTATATGAAGCATGATTCTTAGTTATATCTCATATTTGGCAGGGATGCTTATGATATCTTATGTAATATATGAATGCTTTAGCTTGCAAATTTTTGTTAATTGTCCTAGGCCATTACTTATTTGGAAGGGGAAGAGAACCAATCTTTCTTCACACCCAATACATGTCAGTTCCAGTGCTAGGTGCTTTACATATGTTATCTTATTAATCTTCCTAATAATCCTGTAAAATAGGTATAACTGTGAGTAAGTTACAGCTGAGAAAACCAAAGTTCACAGAGGTTAAGTAATTTGCCCAAAAATGTAAAACAAGTCTGACTCCTAAGCATGTGTTCTTTCCAAGAGGTTACACTGCAGAGAGCTGAATAGGGAGCTGTCAAATGAATTCTGACTTTCTCCTATTGCCAAAAGCTTAGTAGTTTATATATGACCTTACTACAAATATGGACTGATTTATAAATATCTTTGTTCTCTCCAGAATATTTTTCTACGTTTAATTATTTTGATCCGTCAAGAGGTACAGAGGTGCTATTACAGAACACACCTTTGAAGGGAATAAAGGAGTGTGGGTTCTAGTTGTGGAACCTTAGGCAAGCTTTTTAACCTCTTTTGTGGCCTCAGTTTTTTTTTTTGTTTTTCTTTTTGCGGTATGCAGGCCTCTCACTGTTGTGGCCTCTCCCGCTGCGGAGCACAGGCTCCGGATGTGCAGGCTCAGCGGCCATGGCTCACAGGCCTAGCCGCTCCGCAGCATGTGGGATCCTCCCGGACCGGGGCACGAACCCGCGTCCCCTGCATCGGCAGGCGGACTCTCAACCACTGCGCCACCAGGGAAGCCCTGCCTCAGTTTTTTTACCTAGTAAAATGAGGACTTTGGACTAGGTGGTGTCTGGGTTGTATTTGACTCAGGTCGTCATTCATTCTTTCATTCATTCAGTAAACAGACTGAGATTAGGCACTATTTTATGTGCTGGGAAAACACTGGTGAATGTAGTTACATTCTCATGGAATTTACACTCTCTAAAATTCCTGATCTTAAGACAGTAATTCTCAAGGTGGTGAGGAATCATAGGTGGAACAAATTTTCAAAGTCACTTAGGGAATACTTTTTTGAAAGTATACCTATACCACATCCTAGATTCACAGCCTACTCCCCACAAAGTAAGCACCATGGGGAGCCAGTGCTATTGATAAGCATTTGTGGTATCTTTCTTAAAGGCTTGGTAGAAAAAAGGTTGAGAATTAGTGTTCTAAGTGATACAGCAAATTAAAGAGATGCAAGTCATATTGCTCTATTTGTAAGGGAGACTCATTAAGAGACCCAATTCTAAGCTTAGAGTAAGTTGGAAAGTGCACTTGAATTAATAGTCCCTGATTAATTTAAGTCCTATGAACACTTGTACCAATCACATAACAGAAATATTAGAATGCTTACCCATGTTATTATTGGCCATAATCTCTCGCGCTGAATTCACGTGCAAAATCACTTGATTAAAAACACCACTATCCTTCTGGCAATTAATTTTAATATCCCAGGCTACAGCCAGTTTTCTGTTTCTAAATACAAACAAACAAGCAAACACACATTAATGATGTCATAGCATTTTGTTGATGAAAAGCCTGCTCACATATTCTTCTTTCATGTTCTGAGAATCAACAAAAACTGAAATGTTGGAAAGGTTTTAAAAATGTATTCCCACTCCTCTCAAATCTAACAGTTATACCTAAAGTTTATGCTACAGTAAATATAAAATTACCATAGAAATGTGCATGACTTGAAAATTAGAAAAAAAAGAAAACACTTCTAGTTTAATACTGTCAGTCATAGAATGTTTTATTTTAAACTTGCTGTTCAAACTTTCAAATACGACATGTGTGGCAAAGAAAAAACAGTTAACACACAACATCTGCCACAATTCTATCTTCGAACTGCCTCTTCTATATTATGTGATATGTTACAATTTCTTTCAATTTCTTACATTCATTGTATTCTTAAAGGCAGCAATGTCAATTTTTCTGCTTTGAAAACAGTTCCATTAATGTTCCGAAATTACTTAAAATGACAACTTTTTCCTTTCAGTATTCTACTGCTGCCCACATTAGTGACATAATTCAACATATTAATACATTGTTGAGAGGTACACTGTACTCAATAAATCAACTCCCAACTCTAAGTTAAAATGAACTTCAATCAAAAACAAGCATCTTCCTAAATCAGTTTACTCAGCTACTTTTCTCAAAAATATTTCCATTCTGAAATAAGTTTTTCTGTGAGATACAATAGTTTCATTTTTATTCCTAACAGAACTCATGCTGTACTTTTTTTTTCAAAATATATTCGATATATTCTGTGCAAAATGTTAAGTTCTGTATAGGTATGTACCTTATTTTGAAAAAGTTTATAAAATATAATTCCTAGAAATAACCTCAACATTAGACAATAGAGGAAGAAGAAACATATCAGAAAAAGCCTAATTTTTCACAGGAGAAAATAAGTATGTTCTTAAAGCTCCAGTAATACATTCCTTGAAAAAACTCAGAATGCACTTTGGTCATTATTAAACATATTAGAACACAGGCAAATAAAATAAAATACTTTTGTTGTTTTCTACAGAAAGAAAATATGGCTGAATTGAGGCTGATCAAAAGGAACGGTGAGAGCAAAGTGATATTACGATATGGCTCTGTTCTCTACACATTCCTGATCTTAAGATGATTTGGGGATTAGAACTGCACCAATCAAATAAATAATTTACAATTAATTATTTTAAATTCCCAAAAACATGGTAAAAAATGTGAGGATATTCAACATGATACACCTTGCACCAAGAAAATTCTAGACTGTCTCAAATAAATTCTTTGTTTTAGAAACTAGATACCCAGTTTTAAAAAAAAAGTTTGCTAAAACATTTCATGTTTCACATAACTCCTAAAATTTCTTGATTGTACAAACATAACAACTTAAAATCAAGGCCCAATGTAAGATACCATCATATTCGCCCTATTTACCTAACATGCCAACAGGATAAGTTCTCATTTGGAAACTTGGCAAATTATTTAGGGGGGAGGGGGTTAACTTTCTAGGTTAAAAGCATCTAAAATAGCCCTTATATAATTGGGGGTTGAGGGGGTAGATGTACCAGACTAAGTTTAGAAGGTAGAATTTGCAAGCTATAGCTATTTTTCCTGAAAATTCAGATATAGTTTTACAACTAACAATCAGAAGAATATTTAACTGGTTCTTAACCTTATTCTTAAGTTGTTCATTTGAGTGTGGTATGAATAGTATACACTATAGTGTACCATAGGGAGAAAATTATTTTACTTGAGTAAACATAATGTACTTTAGTAATATCAATAGGCACTTCACTTGTGAGATGAGCATATACCTCACTCAAAAGGATACCATATCATGCCCCAGTACACTATAACATATCCCATATAAAGATACACATTAAAAGTAACAATTTTAAAAAGTGCACATTTTGAGCATGCACAGTTGGAGCTGTGCAAACAGCCCAGTGTTTCAAATAAATACAATTATTACTAGTTAATTTTTATCAAAATATCTTACAGTATGGTAACCATTTACAATTATTGCTCTATTAAGAGTTTTATCATCAAAGAGCACTTGTTGACCTGTTGTGTAATACCATATATATTAATACTGAAGGGTGCTTAAACTGCAGCTTAATCAATTTAGATCCTGGCATTGTTCCGAAAGAATTCAAAAGAAACCCTGACTGGATCTTGATTTACTGAAGAAAATGCTTTATGTGTTTAGTTGAGTCCAATGCTAGGTTATAAAGTTAAAGAAGTTTTCCTCAAGTAAGGCAAGTCACGGCATTGACAGAGAAACAGTGCTTAGCAATGGCTTCTCTTCTCACAATTTGTTATTTTGTCATTATTTATGAGCAATTACCAGGATCTCAAGTATCTGGATATCAGTTTTATCACCCTTTCAACAAGTAAGTACATCAAAGCTAAAAATAAAATATAAAGACTAAAATAAATGTACAAAACAGTGAACAAGTGAAATAAATATAAGAATTGCACAGGACAGTCTGATGTAAACACTTCAATTTCCCAGCTGAGACTCCTGAAGCAAAGAGTCAGTGACTGCTTTCAGGCAGCTTAGTTGGTACTCTTATTCTGGAAAAGAGGCTACATCTTCTTTTCTCTGAATTGTCATGATTTAATCTTCCAAAGCTAGTGAAAAAATAATAGAAATAGTGACCATTAGAGCCAGTTTTGATACTGCAACTTATTAAATTATATCACATAATACTGTTTTTATCTAAATTTCATTCATAAACAAGTGTAGGTTCTACTATTTTAAATTCTTTTATCCTTTTATTTTCAAGAAGAATTCACCTTAAACAAATAAAAACGTGGAAATCAGATTTCTATTGCTTTTTTTTTTACTAGGAAGTGGCAATATACATATACTACTTGTTAATATGAATATACTACACCTTACTCACTAGCAGCTTTGCACATGTTGGAGGATGTATGCATTGCTATATAGATAAATAATATAACTTATGGCCAAAACCAGAAATAGGGCTCTTTTTTTTTCTTTTTTATCACCTAAATTAGATTCAGATTATAGATGAGTAAAAATAAATACTTCAACTTATCCTATACAAGAGTCCCATTTGTAATGAATACTGTTCCAAATTAGGAGTTCCATCCGTATTATAAACCAAGAATATCATTCTTTGAAATTAAATGTGAAATTACTTAATTAATATTTAATATTATACAATAAAATCAAAATGACTCCCTTACTGTACATGTGAGATCTCAAGAGTGCTGGGGTAAAATAAATGTCACAAAAATATAATAAGGCACTAAGAAGTTTAAAAATACCTGCAGGCTCTTACCTTTAAATTAAATCCAAGTAAGTCACTGATAACACCAGAAACAGCTGACAGGATGACAACCTGGGTGATGTTATAAAGCAGTGGATTCATTGTAAGCCCATATAATCTAAAGGGACTGTCCAATTCCTAGCAAAAGAGGAAAAAACCATGAGCCCAGATTCATTAAGAATTATCAGTTAAATTAATTCAGGACAATATGCAAAGAGAATTTTTAGAAACACTGTTTCAAAAAAAAGTTACAAAATTATGATAGCTTTAGAAAGAATAAACTTGGTTGAACTTGAAATAAGTAAATATACTTTTAGGTTTTATTAGGAGAAAATGACTTTCATTTAAAAGAACTCTGGGCTTCCCTGGTGGCGCAGTGGTTGGGGGTCCGCCTGCCGATGCAGGGGACGCGGGTTCGTGCCCCGGTCCGGGAGGATCCCGCGTGCCAAGGAGCGGCTGGGCCCGTGGGCCATGGCCGCTGGGCCTGCGCATCCGGAGCCTGTGCTCTGTGGCGGGAGAGGCCACAGCAGTGAGAGGCCCGCGTACCGCAAAAAAAAAAAAAAAAAAAAAAAGAACTCTGTAACCTAAATTTGTAACTCCAATTTCTGTCCTAAATGAATGACTAATAAAGTATCGATCTAGTAGGTACAAGGTTAAAGAATATTTTTTATTGTAAGAATAGAAACTGAAAGAGAACAATATCTTTTTGCAGAAGATTTAGAAATTTAGTTAGCCAAATTTTCAGCCAATATTAATACATATAGTAAAAACTCCCCCTTGAGACAATTTTCAAATACATGGATTCATTAATTAATTGACTGATTCAAACATTTAAAGTTCTATATGTGCCAGGCACTGTGCTAGACTCTGGGAAGTTAAGATTCAGTCCCCATGCTGAAGGACTTTGCAGTCTAATAGACATGCAAATAAATAATTCAACTACGAGAGTCCCACAAAAGAGATATGCATAAAAGGCAGAGGGCCATACAGGAAGGTGCTCCTGAAACTTAGTACATGGGGGGAAAGCTGGTATTCCCTAAGACACATGAGAACATGGCACCTTTGAATTACTACAGGTTGTGCATGGGAAGACGTATCTTACGTACTACTTAGGTAAAGGTCATTCTTTGGGCACACTGTGCCTAAAGACTGGCACTAAAGGAATTTAATTGAGGGAGTAGTATATCAGATGTGCGTGTGAGAAATACGGATTAGAGAGCAACGAGACCAGAAGGAGGAACGCCCTAAGAGCTTGGTGTACTGAAAGCTCAAGTGAGATATGATGAGGGTCTGACTTAGAGCAGGACTGAGAGGGAAGAGGGGACAAACTGGAAAATTTTGAGAGGTTGAGCCAATGGGCCTGAGAATTTCTTGGCTGTGAAAAGTGAGAGAGAAGGCGCAACCTATATATTAAGTCCCAGGTTCTGACTAGAAGACTGTTGTGCTTTGTATTTTAGTTATTTTTATATTTCTTTCTACTTTGCAATTGAAGATACTCATAAGTGTCATCTTTATAGCCTTCTCCCGTCTAGCATAGTGCCTACACTATCAAGATATTCAATATTTACTTATCAAAAAACCCACCCACCTCTTCTGAACTCTTTCAATGCCTTATACTGTGATGCACAATCTATACCCTCTTAATGCATTTTAAAACTGAAGAACTGACAGAAGAATTAACCATAGCATTGAGACACAACTAATTTCATACCATTCTATGAACACTTAAAAACAACTTTAAGAATTACATTCAATTTGTTACAGAAACAGATTTAAAAAAATATTTTCCTTTTAAGAAAAAGCATTACTAACATTGCAAAGCAGTGATAAAGATAGTTTATTAAATTACCTCCGAAGTTATTATTATGAGATCAGATATACTGAAATTATATTCTTTTTGATTGTTACCAAAATGCTTTGAAAATTTAAATATTTATTGGTGATACCTATTTATTATAATGATTATGTATAACTACTTTTTAAACCAACTCAGGCAAAGCAAGCAGAAGACTGCTCCGAGAAATACAAAATGAAAAAAATTTGCAAATTAACATCAAATCTTCTTTTTCAAAATCTATTTTAAGTTCTAGGATGCAAAAATTTCCAAAGATGCCAACCTCTACAATACTCTAAACATTATTAAAAGTCTTAAAATTTCAAAAGTGAATAAAATTTCAAAATGCACTGATCTGCATTACTTGGATTAATTTTTCAATGAGAAATAAAATGTATATTGCATGAATGTGCTCAAAAATAATTTGGAAAACAATTTTGATAACCATGAAAACCAAACACCAAGTAGGATCTACAAACAAAAAACTAAGATATAATGTTAGAGCAGCATTTTCTACATCATGTCCATTTTCAATTTCGTTTTTACCTTTAGCAGTTTAGTAGCCAGTTTTAAAACATTATTCACTAGTGTCAGTTCCTCCTTTTTGTTAGGTTTCTTCTCCATTTTCAAGTAGAGGTTTATCTTTTATTAAAAAGAATAAATAATTAAATATACTTAAAATTATAACAAATACTTTGTTTTTAAAAGGTATTTAGAGATATCTGCTAAAATAGTAGTAGTAGTTCTCTGGCTATTATTGAGATTATAGGTGATATTAATATTCTTCTTCATACTTAACCGTATATTCCAAATTTCCTACAGTGAACATATTATTTTATAATAAGAAAATAATAACTGTTATTTAAACTTTTCAAATGTAACTAAAAGCTGAAAGAAGGAAAACTGGATGCCATTATTTAAAATGCAAAACACCTTAGTCACAGAGTCAAATCAACCCTGAGAATAAATAATAACTGGAGTAAGTAAATCAATTGGTTTGTCTGCTACTTTCCCCTTTCCCTCTAATTGACTTGGTCTGACATGGCTACCAATTTTTAAAAATCAAACTATCCCTGACAAAATTACTCAACAAGTTCACTAGAAATAAGTTTGTTTAAATAATTCCTATGAAATGATAAGGAAAACGTTTAAACAAATTCATTCAAAATAAAGTTAAGCATCAAAATTACTATCCTTTATACTTTCTATTGAATGAAAGTTTATGCTTATTCAAATACGGCTCTGCTACACTGCAAAGCAAACATACCCCACTAATGGTTTAAAATCCATCATTTCTACAAATGCTACTTCCTTCTTATCAAATGAATATGCGACATAAAAACAGTAGATTAGACTTGAAGTCTGCATCAAGGCAGAAACACTGAAGAAAGGCTTGTGCCCTATCAAATTTCAAGTTTTGCTGTATAACACAAATGGTCTTAATCTAATAACATAGGTTCCTGAAAATTTTAAAGTAAATATGGGACTTCCCTGGTGCAGTGGATAAGAATCCGCCTGCTAATGCTGGGGACATGGGTTCGATCCCTGGTCCGGGAAGATCCCACATGCCGCGAAGCAACTAAGCCTGTGTGCCACGACTGCTGAGGCTGCGTTCTAGAGCCCGTGAGCCACAACCACTGAGCCCACATACCACAACTACTGAAGCCCGTGCGCCTAGAGCCTGTGTTCTGCAACAAGAGAAGCCACCGCAATGAGAAGCCCGCGCACCACAACAAAGAGTAGCCCCTGCTCACTGCAACTAGAGAAAGCCTGCGTGAAGCACCGAAGATCCAATGCAGCCAAAACTAAATAATTAATTATAAAAATTGAAGTAAATGTAAACATTTTAGTTTAATATGTAGACTACAGACATTAATTTAAAACATAATAAACATGCATTCTCACCTGTTCAGTAAGTAAAATTGAGGTATTGCTATATTTTTTACTTGTTTCTGATCCAAGGGTAACAAATCTTAGGAGAAAAAGTGTTAACGAGATGCACCAGATTACCAGTTCCCAATTGTAGTGACAATCAAGGAAGATCTCATGTACATGAAGCAACTAAAAGTGTATGAAAAAGGCAATGTGAAGAAACAATATGATTCAAACAATTTCTTTTTAAAAGAAAATAACATTTTACTTCATACAGATAGATCATGGATATAGAATTACATTTTTAAAACATTCCACATTTATTAGGAAATATTTTAAGCACATAAAAGGTATAATGTAATCAAAACCCATCTAGTTACTTTCGTCAAATCTTAATATTTTGCAATATTCTTTCAGATTTTTGAAAAATAGAAGATTAAAGATTCAGTTGAAGCCCCTTTAAAGTTTTCCTTTCATCATTCCCCTTCTTCCCCACCCCTCTGTAAGGGTAATGAATTTTGCATTTACCTTTTCCATGCAGTTTTTATAGTTTAGCTACATATTTATCCTTAAACTATGTTATTTTATATATATTTTAGAATTTATATAAATGCTATCATATTGCCCATATCATTCTTCAATTTGCTTTTTATTCTACTGGATTTTTGTTTTCAAAGATTATCCATTTTTCCATGATACATTAAGCTCAAATTCATTCATTCTAACTCCTACAAAGGTACTACAGTAAAACAATCAACCACAGTGGATTGGCCTACTCTACCAATTAACATTTACTGTGTTGCCAATTTCCTTATTACAAACAATACTGCAATAAATATTCTCTTATGCATCTCGTCTCCTTGTGCACACATATAAGACTTTCTCGAGGAGTTAATAGCTAGGAGTAAAACTGCTGAGTCCTTGGATATTCACACATTCAACTTTAGTAGATATTACAAACTTGTCTCTGAAAACAGCTGTGCCAATTTATACTCTCAGCAGTGTATCAGTCTTCCCTTTGCCCTCATATTTGTCCACACTTGGTATTATTCAACTTCTTAGCACCAATCTGCCAATCTGATGAGTATTACTGTTTTAATTTTACTTTTCCTGATTACTTAGGGAGAATGTATGTTTCATATGCTTATTAGTTACTGTGCTTCCTCTTCTGTAAGTTATCTTTTTATATTCTGTATCTAATTTTTTTCTATTACGTTGTCTGTTTTTTTAATTGATTTGTAGACTTTATATATTCTGAATAACAAAGCTATTTAAATCATGTATTTTGCCAGTATCTCTTCCCAGACTCTCTTTTGTTGTTTATGGTGCCTTTTGCAGTACTTATAATTTTTAGGGAAGGGTAGGACAGAAGAAGAATATATGAGAGACTGCAGGTATCAGGCAAAAGTCTAAAATATTTACTGTCTGGCCCTTTACAGAGGAAGTTTGCTGATCTTTGGCTTATAGGAACAAAATTGATTCTTTTATGTTGATGTTATATCCATTTTTGTTGATCTTGAACTTCTAAAAAACATAATTTTTAATAATTTGTCCTTAAAGTTACTTGAATATTCTACACAATCATATAGTCTACAATGTTTTCTTTTCCAATCTTTATACAATTTCTTTTTCCTATCTTCACTGGTTAGTACCCTCCATTAAAATGCTGTCTAGAAGTTATAGAGAAGGTACCTGTCTCATTCCTGATTTTAAAGTAAATATCTCCAAGATAATAAATATCATATGTATAATGTTTGCTCCAGTTTTTGAAAGATATACTTTTATCAAACTAAGAACAGTACTTTCCAGTCATTGTATGAATCTCCACTGAAATTTACCAATTTGTTTTCTGTAAATATGTAGATGATCAGATGATTTCTCCTTCTTTAATCAATTAAAGGAGTTCAAACTAGATAAATGGCTTTTCTAAAGTTGAAAATCTTTGCATCCCAGAGATAGACTGTCTTGGTCATGGCATATTTAGTTATTAAATTGCTAGCTTCATCTTTCTAGTATCTCTGAATCTAAGTTAGCTCACTGTTTCCTATTTTCATACTATCTGTCTGGTATTGGTAACAAGGTTATACTAAGTATATAAAATGAGTTGGGGGAATATTCCCTCTTCTACTCTCTAGATCTTTTGTGTAGGATTAGGATTACATCTGCAAAATTCATCTGTAAAAACGACATGGGTCTAGATGATTTTTGTTGCTAGCAGATTTTCAAACTACTGAATCAGTACTGCTTTATGGTTATAAGTCTTCTCAGCTTTTCAGTTACTTTTTGAGTCAGTTTTAATTAATAAATTACGCATTTCTACAAAATAGTCCACTTAAGCTTTTGACTTCAGTGACAAAAGTAATTTATACTAGTATTCTTAAAAAAAAATTCTCAACTGTTTCAGTTTAATACTGTAATTTTTCTTTTTTAAAATGTGTTATTTGTTGGGGGCTTCCCTGGTGGTGCAGTGGTTGAGAGTCCGCCTGCCGATGCAGGGGACACAGGTTCGTGCCCTGGTCCGGGAAGATCCCACATGCCGCGGAGCGGCTGGGCCCATGGGCCATGGCCGCTGAGCCTGCATGTCCGGAGCCTGTGCTCTGCAACAGGAGAGGCCACAACAGTGAGAGGCCCACGTACCGCAAAAAAAAAAAAAAAAAAGTGTTATTTGTAAGTATGTTTTGAAATTTTCAAACGTATGGTTTTCTTGTTGCTGTCGTTGTTTTCTACTTTAACTGCATACAGCTAGTGGTCTGTATGTTATCAATTGAGAATCACTTTGTCGCCTAGTACATGAGAAAGTTTTACAAACTGTTCTGTGCCTGAAAAGAATATGTATTGTCCAATTACAGAACAAAATTTTTAACTATCTTGTTTAGATACATGTCTCTATTGTATTTTCGTCTGCTTAATCTATCAATTATGAAAGAAATGCATTATATCTTCCCAATGTGGTATTCTGTCAATTTCTCACTACAGTGCTATTGATTTTGACTGTATATAGGTATGTTTGAAGTTACGGAATCACATGCATACAAATTTGGAATTATTAGATCTTCCTGATGAATAATTCTCTAAATTTTTGTCAGGTTTCTCTTTATTCCCAATTACGCTTCTTAGGTTACAGTCTCCTTCATCTGATATTAATGTAAGTTCACCAGCTTTCTCTTGGCTAGTATTTATCTGCAATATATTTTTCTATCTTTTTACATTCAAAACTTTTCAATGTTACTACGTTTCATGTGTCTTTTGTTGACAGCAATCGATAGATTTTATGTTCATTAGAGACAGAACTACTACAGCATGTACTTCAGGAACATGGAAATTAAACCTTGAAGAAAAGACTGAAATGCAATAAGCAATTGTGAGTAAAGAAATCAGTCTTTTTCCTTTTGGTTGCTTTTAGATTCTTCTCTGTTGTTGGTGTTCTGCAGTTTTTCTATAATGTGTCTAAGTGTCGATTTATTTTTATTGTGGCTTCTTGTTCTTGTTGTGCCTCCTAAACCTGAAAATTAATGTCTTCCATCAATTCAGAAAAACTCTTAGCCATTACCTCTCCAAATATTGCTCTCCCTCTTCTTTCCATCTGAAATTCCTATTAGATATATGTTGGATCTCCCAACTGTCTCAATCTCCTTTTCATATTTCCATCTTGTCATCTCTGTTCTATATTCTGGGTAATTTCTTCCATTTCCCACTTCACTCTCTTTAGCTGTCTTAAATCTGCTATTTATTCTGTTTGTTGTGTTTTAATAATAATGTCAGTAACTGTATTTTTTTACCTCTATGAAGCAATGCTTGGTTCTTTTTCAAATCTGTTTTTTCTTAGTGTTATATACATCGTTAATCATTTTAAACAACCTTACAGTTTATCTGACCAGATCTGAAGTAGCTGGAGACGTACTCCTGCTGTGTGTTAATCTGTTGACTCACTCATGTTGGATTGTTTTTTCATGTGTTCTGAAACCTGAAGGGGCTTTATCTGTGGAAATCCTGTGAGGCCTAGGGTTGATGTCACATCTCCAAGAACAGTCTTGGTTTTGTTTCTTCCAGGTATCCAGGAGTCTAGGATTACTTTTTATATTAACTTCTTGACACAGGGGTTACAGGACAAGACCTGTAATGTACACTTGAACCCTGAACCTGTGTGAAAGGCAGATCTACAGTTATATATTCTTAGGAGAGACTTTCCCTACCTCCTTGCCAAAATCCAGGCAGAATCAGACAAGCTTCCTTATTATCTTTCTGTGCTGTTAGGCACACTGTTTTTCTTATTCCACCTTTTCACTCAGACTATAGCCCTTTGAGGATTCTGGCCTTATAGTGTATGTATAAGGAGGTATGGCAGGTCAAGGCCTCATCTTCTTGTCCTAATATGGGCATAAAGTCTCAAATCTCTCAGATACTAACACTGACAATGTACCTCACCATAACATTAACACATATAATTAATTGCTGTTTTTCAGTTTTATCTTCATTTTTGGCCCCTTACTGTCTTATAAACTCAGACATATATGTAATATGTATATAAAAAAGCTCACTTATGTATATTAAAAGGCTGTGTTTTTTCCCAGAATTGTATGATATTCTAAAGCAGAAGAATTTTCAGGTAATCTAGTATGTCTTATTACTGGAAATGGAAGTTTAAATTTCATAGCATAGAATATATCCTGAGATATTTTTGTGCTTCCTGACTAATCTTGGTCAATGAGAATTCTTTTTCAGAGCATGAGGCAGTCAACTCACAGTGACAATTCAGATACAAAATAAAAGAATTAATATTAAATGTGAAGAAAGCAGAGATTCATGGAAAATAGTCTGAAAATTTTCCTAACTCTAACTCATAAGTTTGTTTTGGGAAATAAAGATAACCAGGTGAATTGTAGACAACAACTAATTATTATATGTTCAATCAATAGACCCCTGAGAATAAGCTAGCTGCTGTTCATGACATAGATGAGTAACATGCATTTATTTATTCTACAGGAAAAAAACCTGTAAAAAGTCAATGTCAAATTACTTATTACTTTGATTGTTTATTATTAGAAAGTTGAATATTTATAGATCTGATTATCTAATTTCTACAGAACAAGTTAACTCACCTGGGCACAACAGATAAATACAACTGAGATAGTTAACAAGAAAGCAGATGAAACTATGACATCAACTGATCGCTGAGGACCTCGACGCTGGGGAAAAAACGGAAAACACTTTTAAATATATTTACTAATTAGCAGCTAATTCCATGCTTTCAATTTAGGTATTGATCCACCACTGCACGTTGATCATAGCTTACAGCACTGAGAATATACCTAATTTGTGAGATGAATTCTAATTATAGTGTTACTGTTTCCTGAGGATTTGCAACACAGTGAAAATGGTGAATATACAGCCTAGAATTCTTAGGTTAACTTCCAAATATTCCATTTTGTCAAACACTAATCATTTATTCAACATTTTTTTTGAGCATCTGCTCAGAATGAGGCACAGTGCTAGGAGCTGGGAACACAGCAGACAACAAAACAGACATGGACTCTATCATCACAGGAACTTGTTGGGAGTCAGACATCAAGCTCATAGTCACAGATGAATATATAAGTTGTGAGGAGTGCTACGAAGGAAAGGTATAGAATGCTTTGAGAAAACTGGTAGGGAGTTTGTTGTAAATATCACTCCCTTAGGGAGATCTTCCCAGGCCCATACTCCTAACTCCCAAAAAGTTTATGTATGCCTGGGAAGCTCTCTCCAAGGAAGTGATATTTACACCAAACTAAGGTGCAGGAGCATGATGGCACATGGCAGTGTTGTTGGTAGAAGGAAGGGCATGTGCAAGAGTATAAAACAGAAAAGATCATAGTGCATTCAAAGAACTGAAGCAGTGTAGTATGGCTGGAACGCAGGGAAGAAAGTGTTTCAAAACAAGACAAGAGGGACAGGCTATCCACAGGAGCTAGGTAATCAAGGGCATTATAAGCCCTGCTAAGATCTTGTTGTTCATCCTAAGATCAATGGAGAACCTTCAGAAAGCTTTAAGAATATGTTCAAATATACATTTTTAAGACATCTCTGGTAGCAAACTGAAGAAAATATTAGAAGGAGAAAAGAGGAATGCTGTGAGGCCAGTTAAAAGGCAGCTGCAGTAGTCCAATGCAGAAGATGATGGGTGGCTGCAATTAGGGTGGTGGAAATGGGAAAAAAAAAAAGAAGTAAATGGATTCAAGATATATTTTGGGGCTTCCCTGGTGGCGCAGTGGTTGAGAGTCCGCCTGCCGATGCAGGGGACACGGGTTCGTGCGCCGGTCCGGGAAGATCCCACGTGCAGCGGAGCGGCTGGGCCCGTGAGCCATGGCCGCTGAGCCTGCGCGTCCGGAGCCTGTGCTCCGCAGCGGGAGAGGCCCCAGCAGTAAGAGGCCCGTGTACCGCAAAAAAAAAAAAAAAAAAAAGATATATTTTGGAAGCAGAAAGGGTGGGAAATGGTGATAAACTGAATGTTGGAAATGCAAGAGAGGAAGTCAGTACTGAGGATAATTCCTAGGTCTGGAGTTACATATTTCCCTCACTGAAGTGTAAGCTCCTAAGGGTAGGGATTTTTATCTCATCAATAGTGAATGGAACATGGTTAACGTTAAATAAATGTTTATTGAATAAAATAATCAATGCACAAAAGAATACAATACCTACTTAGGGTTGATAATGAGGGGAAATTTTAGGTGGCTTCTCACTAAGACAGGGAACAAAGATCATATCTATCCTTCCAGAAGTGTCACAGTGAGGAAAAAATAATCTACACCAATCTGTAGCATCTCCCAGTGGAGACTAACTTAGCTGGATTTAACAAGTTAAATAAATAAACAGAATAATGCATTTTTTAAATAGAAGTGTAGATAGTGCATATTTTTTCTACTTCTTTCCTTATTACTTCAAAATGAAAAGCATTAAAGACCTAAGTATGTTAGAGGATAGTTGGCCTTTAGGTCAATTTTATTAAGACATGATTACTCCATACATAATGAAATTCACTGCTAATGCAACAAATAATCCTCAGAAGAAGTGTTTTCCTAAAACTAATTCAGATGTTTCCCATTTCCCTCCTGAGTTTTTATATCTTAATTCCATAATTAGGAAAGTTATTTTAAAAGATTAAGGAAAAAGAATGGCATGAAAAGGATGGCTTAGAATTGCAAGCTAAAATTTCCAAATAGTAATAGGCCACTTCAGCGACTCACTGACAGATTTTTTTTTTATTCGTTTTTTTAAGCAGTGGGCTCCCTCTGCTGGCTTGTGATAATCATTCTAGGTAGAAACAAAATCTTTAATCTAGCTTTTGAATGAGTAGAAGTTGGTAAGATTTATGAACAAAGATAAATTTAGGACAATCTGATCTTGAATCATCTACCTAAAATGCATTTAAGCCTTTCAGACTTCAGATGTTTTACTGTAAAGAACCAGTTTAACATTTATTTTGAATTTCTGCATATGGATCAAAATGAACACTAAGTGTGGCCATATAGCACCATATGAGTACAAATCTGACTATAAATCTAGACATACATACATAATGACAAAGAAACTGGAACTATGAGAGGGAGCCAGCACGTTAAGAGTACTTTTATCACTACCATTCTACCTTAAGATAGGACCGGAGAGAGAGCCACATTTTTATATTCTGTACTTTCTTCAATCGGAAATGGGGAACCTCAGATTTTCGAGCCCTCCTTGCCGATGTTAAATGTCCAAAGAGTTTTGCAAAAAGTAATCGCTAAAAAAGATTAAAATAAAAGTTAATTTTCAAGTAGATTACCATATAAAAACAAAAATCAACAAAATAAGGATTATTAAGATTTTATTTGGTTACGTATTACAGAAACAAAATAGGAAAATAATTAGCAGCTCAAAATGATTTAATGAAATTCTAAAATACTTCAGGAATACCTTGAATATTATGAAAAGGATGAAATATTCTCTATTCAGAAATCTATATTATACCCACCTGTTTATAAGTTCTTTCTGCTACACAGAGCAAAAAAAAGAAAATCCACACAAGAGACACACGAACCACAAAACTTATTATAACCATAGAAAGAACTATGACATCTTCATTAGAACCAAATGCAATCACATAAAGTTCTGAAGCAGAATGTGCTGTGAGTTGATCCAAGTCTGTAGCTTGAGAGAGTCGGAAAACAAATGGAGTTAAACCCAGGATTAGAGAGATTGCATTTCCAAAAATCTGGTATCCTATTCCTGGTATATGGCTGTTTACCTTTATAGAGAGAGAGGAAAAAAGAAAAAAAAAAAAACTTACACAAATTTTATCTACAGTAAAATAAATTCCTAATGAAGCATTATTTTATTTATAGCAATATGAAATAATTTTGTTAAAATATATTAGTTTTAATACATGAATAATGAAATTTAAATTTACTCAAAGTCTGTAAGTCATTATTTTTTCAGTTTTTAAAAACACTTCATTATCAGATCTCTAATTCACTAAGTAGATGCAAAAGGATTTACTAACCCGGTCTTAACCGGGATCTTGAAAAAAAATTCTATTTCTCTCATTAAAAAGTTAGAAATACTTACAAACACTGCAATATTGAAAAGAATGAGGAGATCTCATATACACTTAAATTCAGTTACAGAAAAAATGTAGAATTATATACTTACTCGATAAATTTATAATTTGTGTTTTACTTCAAAGAGTTCAATATACAAATGGATATCTCCTTAAACTCTAAAACCATTATCTTTTATATACATACACACATATATATTTTTTTCTGAAACCATTTCAGAAGAGAGACTATGCTAGAGGGGTAAAAATTAAATAAGGGGGGGGGAAAGGGCGGGGGAATTATAAAAAAAGGAAGTTGGAAATTAAATAATGGGAAAATATAAAATTGGTAGGACTGGGAGGGATCTTAAATATCATCTAGCTACCTTTTTATCATGATATTACAGAGTATGTAAAAATTCCCAGATACTTAAGGTACAGAATATCACCTAGATCCAAGTCTTTAGGGACTCCTTGTCAATAGCTTTTCATAGCTCACACTGAGATATGTAATAGGACGTGAAGTAGATCAATTTCTGAAACCAGTTATTTTAATTCCTGTCCCACATAACGTGTGCACAAAAGTTCTAGTTAACAATACACAAGAAATTTAAAATTGCAACTTAAATCATGCTTAGTTGTCTAGAGGAATCAAGTAAAATTTAAAAAGTAGTAATGATCTAATAAGAGAAATAATAATAGAAACTGAAATTAAAATCCATAGTATTTGTACTCTACATCTTCAAATAACTCAAGATTTTTACTAGTTGCATTACTTCTATATATTTAAGTTGGCAAGCATCAATACAAATTTTCCAGTTTGATTTTTTTTTTAATGTTTTGGGTAGTAATAAATAAATGAACCATGATAAATGATACAGGAAAATAAGTTTTCATCAACACTTGTATATATCTAGCAGCTCCTAAATTTGACCCATTGAAAGCAAAAAAAAAAACATAAAAGTAGAAAATTTTAGACTGTATCATCTCTTCTTAATCAGAATATGAAACATTAAAAGGTGAGAGTGATTTGGTAACAAATCACTGTTGAAATCACTGTTTAAATACAAATTAACTTTTTCAGGTTGAAGAAATGAGGTGAGTAGATTATACAGTATTTCAGTAATCATTTAATATATTAATAATCACTGTCTAAACAAATAAAATTTAATAACTCACTCTGTTCATTATCATTCCACTGATTTCAAGTACAGACATGTCTGCTTTCTTGCAGTCATTGCCTTCCCATACGATAGCGCTTATTTTTTCTAATCCCGGGTGGGAACTATGGAGCCAGGGCAAATGACTCTATAAAAAAAAAAGAAATTGGTGAATATATTAACTGCATTTCATAATTAAGATATATATGTGTGTATATATCTGTATACACACCCAATTTTATCTACACTAAAAAATAGAAATTGGTGAATGCACTTACATTTATAGAATATATGTATCTGTACAAAGCTATATTGTGTACAATTTCAATGACACTAAAATTCTATCTTAGGGCTTCCCTGGTGGCGCAGTGGTTGAGAGTCCACCTGCCGATGCAGGGGACACGGGTTCATGTCCCGGTCCAGGAAGATCCCACATGCCGCGGAGCGGCTAGGCCCATGAGCCATGGCCGCTGAGACTGCGCGTCCGGAGCCTGTGCTCCGCAACGGGAGAGGCCACACAGTGAGAGGCCTGTGTACCGCAAAAAAAAAAAAAAAAATTCTATCTTAAAATCAGTTAGCGGGCTTCCCTGGTGGCGCAGTGGTTGAGAGTCCGCCTGCCGATGCAGGGGACGCGGGTTCGTGCCCCGGTCCGGGAAGATCCCACATGCCGCGGAGCGGCTAGGCCTGTGAGCCATGGCCGCTGAGCCTGCGCGTCCGGAGCCTATGCTCCGCAACGGGAGAGGCCACAACAATGAGAGGCCCGCGTACCACAAAAAAATCAGTTAGCATATACACTGAACAGATGGCGTAAGAAATTATGTTTATAAAAATGCATAAGTTAAGAACTTTCTGTAACATCTATTAGGCAACCTACTGTTCAAAAATACTCTAAAATTTGTCAGCAAAAGCACTTAGTCGTCAATCTGTCTACATAACTCTTAATATACAAGTGTTCAAAGACAAATGCACATTAAATTCATATTACTAATTGTTCATACTACTGAATGTCCAACTTATGATCATTCAATACAAAAGAATATGATAGCTGAGGTATGAACCTCTTTGAAGGACTAAACAGTGATACAATCCCATTCAGAAAGAGATACAAACTTACTCTTAATATTTGATTTAGTTACTTTTCTGATTTTTTAATCTAGCAATTCTCCAAAGGATCAATTTAACTTTTTTCCCCCTTCGAGCAAATATTGTGAACTGAAGCACCTAGAGATAGAAGGACTCTCCCAACTAGAATAACGTATCTCTCAAAGTTTCAAGGAACAGAAAAAGGTAAAAAGAAAAACTGAAAGCTTTAATGCAAAAAAAATCAGATACTTAAAGTTGGGGTTTTTTGTTTGTTTCAGATCTATAATTAAAAGAATAAAACTTCAAAATAGGATAGTTGGGGGTTAAAGATGGCAACAAAATTAATAAAACACTAATATTTACATTATCAGATATTGATAGAAATAACACTAAAAGATTAGCCCCAGAATGGGATAAATTTGATAAATTTGTTTTATTACATTACATTATTTCTAAGTTATTTTTATAACATATTTCATTGAAATAACTTCTAACAATGAATAGAAGAATCTACTTCAGAATATTCTTTGAGGACAAAAACGTGATTGAAATATGGTAAAGATATGCTTCTGTAAACTTAAGGAAGATATTTTCCTCTAGGGGAAGTAAAGTTGCATTGACTTATTTCAGTTAAAGGTATAAAATAATAATACAATAATATGTAAGAAAATAGACATGGGAATTATTTTGACCTCGTACATTAATTTTCTTTATGAACAATTATATAGGCAAACCATAATGCCAGTAGTTATGCTACTGGCAAAGCTCTTTTACATTTAGTTATTTGGCTATCAAGAGGTTTTCTGTAAAAATTTATCTGTTCCAAAGATATAGTATTTTAATATACATTAACCTTCACAGTGTATATTTCACTACTGGAGAGCCTTAGGATCTATGAGATACTAGTTATTAACTATCCACTTAATTCCTCAAATTACATTTTATAATTTTTCCCCAAACAAAATACTCTAGTTTGGGATAAAAATAATTTGCACCAAAATATGTATCAAAATTTCCCTGGAACTTTAATAATTATGAAACATAATGGAACTAAAAAGCTAAGAACAAGTATGAAAAGCTGAATGGAAAGAGTGTTAAGCTACAGAGATAACAGATTAAAACACCAATATACAGGCTTTTTTTTTCTTTTAATTCTCAGTCTGTAACAGTGAATTACATGAAGCAAGACATACAATACCGAGAATGTACATCTAGAGACAGAAATAGGAAATCAAAAAGTTCTTCACTCTACTTCCAAAAGTACTCATTTTGCACCGGTACCTTCTAACTAGCATTTGATAGCATTTTCCTATTTCCAGAAAGGCAAAAGGCAAGAGAGTAGAGAGCAACTAGAAACTGGAGAATTTTAAAACAATTAAAGATACAGGGGCGTGTGGGTGTGAAATGTACTCAAAAATAGGGGAAATGGGGATAGATTTATAAGTATAGCTGATTCACTTTGTTATAAAGCAGAAACTAACACACCATTGTAAAGCAATTATACTCCAATAAAGATGTTAAAAAATTTTTTTAAATATTGTACAAATATGTACTGCCTTCAGTACATGAGACTTTTTTTAAAAGTTTCAAAGAAAACATCAGAGCAAATCATTCCATTTTATAATTTTATGATATAGATTCTTCTTAGTTACGTTTTTCAAACTAAAATTTGGAACTCTTGCAATGGTTGCTCTTTACCCTCATCAAAATCTCAACTGCTTTGCTCCCTGTTCATTCACAACTGCCTGGAAACCTTAACACTTTAAATGGCAGCATGTTTTATTTCAGATAAATTCACCATGACAATTGCTTTCCTGAAGTTTCCACCTGTGGTAACTGTAGCCATTAAAATACGGCTTTACCCACTGAAGAATTAATTTCACTTGAATGTGGCTTTATATTTTATTATATACTCAGCCGTGACTACAGGAGAAAAATTTTCTCTTTTAGAAATGTTTCAGTAACTATTCACCAAGAAAATAAAACAAAACTACAAATTTGGTGACATACTGGCTAGAACACACTGATTCAAATACTCAGTGCTTCTGCACATGAGGAGAAATTTTTCAGTCTTCATGGTAGGCAGAAAACCTACCTAACCTAATACAGAGCTTAGTCAAACAAGAAAAAAAGCAGGCAGCTTTTCATTAAAGGGAGCTAATTTCAGCTAAAACTGAAAACATGAGCTTATTTTTTAGGAGCCTGAGAATACAAAATGTGTGTATAATCAAGTATATAACCCAAAAGCAAAACCAAAGTAAACCTAGAATACTATAATTAATATGCAGAGTAGAACATTAAAAAATGTTTATTTTACCAAAAAAAGAAGCAGAGTAGTGTGACAGATTTAGGACCAATTCTGTAGAGCATTCATTAAAACAAAATTTTTAATCATTTAAGAAAGGCCTAATTGGCATGTTTTGAAAAATTTTATTTTGTTTCATTCATTCACTCAACTAATATTAAACACCTACTATGTACCAGGCACTGTGTGATACAACAATGAGCAAAACAACACATGGTCCCTGCCTCTGTGCCACTTATGGGATTGCTGGGAAAATGGCTCACAGGCGTTTTCCTAAACCTCAATTCCAGTTATTATCCTCTGTGACTTAGATGAATACACAGATGACTCATCCAACACCCTTTTCTCATGCATTGTTCATTGTTTTTTTCACTCCTTAAATTCCAGGGAGCTTTGGCTATTCCCATGGCCACACCCTGGACCCTGTCACCACAAATTGCTCTACATCTGAAATGAGTCTCCAGCCACAGCCTCTCATCTTACCAGGTCTCTCAAACCTTCAATTCAAAACACACTCTTCCCTGAACATACCTATTCTTCAAACTATCAGTCCCTTCTTGGTTTCATTTCCTTCTCAATCTAACATGTCTAGATTTTTACCATATCCATTATTTCAACCAGCATATCATCCTCTCTCCTGTCCCTTGAATAGCAACTAGTTAGCACCTACACTGTATGACTTTGGGTGCATTATTTAATTCTGAGCCTCCATTTTCTCATCTACGAAACAAAAAATAACCTACATTGTTATAGGTCATGTGGATTGTATGAGACAATGCATCTAGATTACTTTGCACAGTGGAAGATATATAATAAATGCTTATTAAATGTTTGCTACTATTATAATTATTCCAACTATATTCCAGAGAATAGCATACAACTATGTAGAACAGGCAACTACAAATTCATAGTTTCAGATTCCAACTGGACCTTCAACCACGTGGCAGTGTGACTCTTTTTAATGTGTTACTTGGCTTGAACACAAGCAAACACAAACTCTCTCCCCATCATCTCCATTTCCCACAAATGAAAATGTCAAGCCTTCACCACCATCCACAAGCCCCTTATTCATCTCACTTCTTTATTGTTAATAGACCACCTGGCCTCCTGCACATCAAAGAACAGAGATCATCAGGCAGTAACTCCCTTGTGGTCTTACCTGCTTCGTGCACTCTTCCTCCTCCTATTTCAGCAGAGGACGTGTTCCTCGTCCTGCAGGAGGCTAAGCTTCCTAATCATGCCTCCCCTCCAGAACCCTAATCATTCAACAACTTCTGTACCTCTTCAATTCTTCCCTGTTTTTTCTCCTATGCACATAAGTGCTCAAGTATCTCACATCTTCACATTTAGGAGGTGGGGACCAAAACATTCCTTCAGTTTCTCCAACCTGTCAGGGCCATGCTTCTTAAACCTCATTCCTCATTTTCACCCCTCAGCCCTCTGTAGCAAAGCTTCTTTCCGCTGACAGTTTTCCTGAAGCTGAAGCCAAAATGAATGGATATATTTTTAAGAGAAACATTCCAATCAGATCGAGAATAATAATACTTGGTTTTATATTTATTTTACCCCCATTTGCTCCGGGTATTTTAATTTACAAAAATTACAGGCAAAATTGAAACTTACTTTGTACCCTTCCCTGCTCTCATTCCCTTTTTAATTCCCCAGATCTATTATCCTAAATTTGGTGTTCATTATTCCCTTACATGTTTTTATATGCTTACTGCATATGCTTTTATTCATAAACAATATATAACCTTGCATCTTTTAAAACTTCATTATAAATGGTATATTGTACGTATAATTCTGAAACTTGCTTTTTTATTCAAAGTTATATTCACAAGATTTATTCTTTTTGATATATGTAACTGAGTTCATTCAATTTCACTGCTGTATATTGTTTTACCATATGCCATGATTTATTAATTCTACTATTGTTGGCTATTGCATTATTTTCCATCTTTCACTATCACATACAATGCAATGAACATTTTTTAATATGTCTCCTTGTGCCCATCTTCTAAAGTATCCTTGGAGTGAGAAGAGTCTTATAGTATGTAGACCTTCAATTTTATTATAAAGTAACAAAATGCTCTCCGAAGTAGTTGTGCAGATTTATATTAACATCAGCTTTGAATAAGAGCATTAAAAAATTCTTTTCTTAAAATAGTGAAAAACAAACCAGTACTTTTTGCAAGGAATGGAAAATACAGCTAGCTCAAATAAAGGTAGTGATTGGATGATGGTGTTTTTCATCAGAAACATTTTGTGGTGTCCAAGGGAAACTTTAACTAGGACTTAGGACAGAGGAATCAGCAGCCCTGGGGACCCTCTGTGCCTTGTAGACTTTCAGTCAATTATTCTGCCATTAATGTGCCTCAGCTAAACCCCATGTGTTTCTCTTCTATTGAACTTTAGTTACATGTTTGTGTATAGACACACATGTGTTACAATCTCATTACACATACTCTCTCACAACCCTTTTTCTGATGATAAGAATAGAATTCATTTTGTTCCTTGGAAGGAGAAAGCAGAGATAAAGACAGAACTGTTCAACACCGAGTCTTCAGTAGAACTGACTAAAAATAAGATGTTTGATATGAGAATATTTTTTCCTAAAAATGTGTCAAGTAGTAGCATTTCAAATTTGGGTTGGTGTGAGGTGAAACAGAAGTAGTACTTGCCTGGAGATTAGCCAGAGGAGGGGACCATGAATACACAAACCCGGAGAAAATAACAGATGTTATGCAGCAAGCTTTGGGCTTTGGGAGAGTTTAAGTCAAGTTTTCCTAAATCTAATTAGCACTAGCCCAGATGGAGGGAGCCAGGTTCCCTCTTCTGGGCTCTGCACTTCAGAGGCCCCCTTTCTGGCTCTGCTCCAGCGGTGCCCCTCCCTGTGAAGTAAGGAGTTTGCAGAGTTGGGGATATGCATATCTGGAACCCATACCCTTCTGGATCCATGGGACCTAGAATTCCCTATCCTACTGGTCCCAAGCTGCCTTCCTAGGCCTGCACAGGCCTCTTGCCCAGGTCCCTCTGGAGAGGGACCCCACCAGTGTGTATATATCTGGGCCAGAGGAGTGGCCAAGGAATTTGGTTTGGAATGATGTGGAAGGAAGTTGGGTGTTGGACCCTCGGATGTCCATATTCACACGTGAGCCCCTCCCGACGCTGGATGAAGCTTGGGATGAAAAGACAAAAGGCTTAATCCAAAAGCCTCCATTGGTACTTTTACTCTAGTACCTGATAATCTGAGAAGAAAGCTTACCTACAAGGGACAGGGTAGCCCAAGCTGACATTCCATGTAGTGTAATTTGAGGGGCATCGCAAAACCCTACTTATAATACAAGGTATGCCTTGGGTAAACCTGTCCTGAGAATTAACCATGAACCTCCTCCCTAACTAATATAGTAATGAAGCACCAAGAAAAATTCACCTACAATTTTAATTTTCAAAAGCTCATTATGCATTATGATTTTGTGAGAAAAATATTTCATACGCAGACACCTGTAAAGTGAAAGGCTAAAGGCCTGGTTCTCATACAAGGCAATAATTTCTCCATTTGGAATGCTAGCAATGTTCTCTCTTCAGAAAGTTTATAAAGCTTATATCCTGCCTATTCTCCTTTAATAAAGAAATGTTAAATATTTTAAAATAAACTTTTTTAATGAGCTAGAAAAAAAATTCTTTTCTTACCTAAAGTAACAAGTATTTTTTTCCTATAATTTCTTCTAAATATTTTAAAGTTTTATTTCTTTACACTTAGGAATTATCTGGAATAAATTTTTGTCTTTGGATAATTATTTGACCCACAACCATATACTGAACAGTCCACCCTTTTTCTGATTTGCAATGTCACTTATGTCATACATTAGGGATCCATACAAAGAGGTAACTATTTCTGGGTTTTCTATTCTGTCCCATTGGTCTATCTGTTTACACACTGAGTCTGCCTGGCCTGCTATAACAAAATACCACAGACTAAATGGTTTACACACAACAGAAATCTGTTTCTCGCGGTTCTGGAGGATGGGAAGTCCAAGATCAAGGTGCTGGCATATTTGGTGTCTGGTGAGATCTCACTTCCTGGTTCACAGACTACTCTCTTTTTGTTGTAACCTCACATGATGAAAGGGAAAAGGGAGCTCTCTAAGGCACCCCTTTTACAGGGGCAGTAATCCTATTCATGAGGGCTCTACCCTCATGATCTAATCACTTCCCAAAGGCCCCATCTCCAAATACTATCACATTGGGGATTAGGCTTTGACATATCAATTATGGGGGGACATAATATTCAGTCTATAGCGTACAGCTGTACCATACCATCTTAATTACTACACCTTTAAAGTAAATTTTTATACTCAGTAAGAAAAGTCCTCTGTTCTTCAAAATTATTTTTGCTATTCTTGACATTTTGCTCTTTAAAATTATTTTTGCTATTCTTGACATTTTGCTCTTTAATGTGGACTTTAAATCAATCTAAGTTCAACTAAAACACAAACAAACATACATGCTGGTAGGATTTTGATAGAAAAAGCGGTGATAATGGGTATCTCTTTCTTGTTCCTGACGTTAATAAAAATGATCCTAGGGCTTCCCTGGTGGCGCAGTGGTTGAGAGTCCGCCTGCTGATGCAGGGGACACGGGTTCGTGCCCCAGTCCGGGAAGATCCCACATGCCGCAGAGCGGCTGGGCCCGTGAGCCATGGCTGCTGGGCCTGCGCATCCGGAGCCTGTGCTCCGCAACGGGAGAGGCCACAACAGTGAGAGGCCTGCATACAGCAAAAAAAAAAAAAAAAAAAAAAAAAAAGATCCTAAAATTTCATCATGAAGTATGATAGGTTTTTAGAAGGTTCTTTGACAGTTACCTTTTATCAGATTAAGGAAGTTTCCTTCCATCTCTAGTTGTCTAAGAGTTTACTTGTTGGTTTTATTATTAAGGTTTGATGAGAAGTTGGATAAGAGAGAGAAGAAGGTAAGGAAGAGTAACCCCCAGGTTTCTGAACTGGCAAGTGAGTGGATGGAGATGTCATTCATAAGAAAAACAGATTTATGAAGGAAGACGAAGTATTTGGTAAATGTGAAGTACTGGTGGGACATTCAAATGAAGATATCCTATAGACCTGTGCTGTCCAATATGGTATCCTCCTCACATGTGGCTAGTGATTACTTGAAATGTGGCTAGTCCAAATGAGATGTGCTGTTAAGTGTTCACAACAGATATTGAAGAAAGTATTAAAAAATGTAACATATTTCATTAATATTTCTCATACTAGTTATATGCTGAAATGATAATATTTTGAATATATTGGGTTAAACAAAACATACTTAATTTATTCCACCTTTCTAAATGTTTTTAAATGAGACTACCAGAAAATTTTAGATTACACATGTAACTCTCATTACACTTCTGTTGGATAGCATTACTATAGGCACTTGGAGATACAAATCTGATACTCATGAGATGTGAATTTGTGAATTATAATCTTATAGGTGGAGTTAAGGCCACAGGTATAGATGAAACTGACCGTGAGGTATGCTGAGTGAGAAAAGGACTAATGCATCTAAAGTACAATTTGACTTACAAAACTCTATTTACTGACAATTTATCAGCAATATATGTTTGCAAGGTGAGTGACACAATCATTATACAAATACTGAGATTCTATGTTCCAGTGAAGCCAGACTGCAGCTCACAATGAAAATAAAAATAATATAGGAACATTATTTTAATTGTAAGTTTTTTCTTCACCTCTGTAAAATCTGTACTTACATTCAAAGGAGCTGGACTTATAGCCCCACATAATCCAACACTGTAAACCAACCTGATGAAAAGGGTCGTCTCTATATTCTTTTTTCACACATGGATTAATTTGAGGATTTTCCACATCTGTCTCACTGGTACAAGATGATCGGCATTCTGCACAATGTAACAAGTCTTCCCATAATACATCTTCTGTTTCAGATTCTGGCCTTGTGCTCTCAGAATCCTGTCTGGAACTTGAACAGCGAGAGCTGCAACTAGTACCCGATTTAGGGGCATCCTGAAATCAAGATATTCTTTGACATTAATACAATTTATGTACCCTTTCTAACTCAAAGGATTCTATCAGAAATATATATTGCTACTTTTTGCTAAAACAACACACACACTGTCAAATGACAGTGAAATAAATAACAAAGCATTAAAATACATAATATTTTTTAAGGAGAAACAAAATTTCCTCATATCAAAATTTGATTTCACATCTCAGCTCAAGTGTTATTTTGCAGGCAAAAGTTGTGCCTGTTTTCTCTTGAAGTTTATACAAAGTTCAGAATTCAGAGACTAGCCTAAATCCATATGGACTGCATAGTCAGTGAATGTTAACCCACTTTAATTGATGTGTTTAATGGAGTTCTTTTCTTAGTTTTTTTTTTTTTTTAGCAACAATAGATTTCATGTATCTACTGTTTTTGTTTTTCAAACAGAAGTTCAATAAATTGATATAAAATTAACAAATAATCTATATCAGGAAGATAACTGCCAACTCATGTTTCTTAATCTATTGTAAAAAAGTGAAAAACTAAAAGGCACAAGTTAAATAATTTCTGATCAATTTACCTTTTTCCTAAGAGTTTTTAACGTACAAAATAAATACCTTTGACTACATTTTAATTTAAATTAATTCCAAATAACCTTTCCTAAATAAAGAAGGGTAATAGCCATCCTTATGTAGTGAAGTATGCTGAAATTTTTGGATTTGTTTTTAGCTATCCTCTGTCACTAAGATTTTGTCAATTCTACTTTAAAATGTTTTATATTTACCCCTCTCTATTTTCCATGTTATCACCACAGTTCAGACTTCATCATTCACACCTTGTTTGCTCTAAGACCTTCCTGACTGACCCCTATCTGAAAGGCCTTGCCCTCTTTCCAGATTAACCTTCCCACAGTGAAGCTGTTTTTTCATTCCTCAGACAAAAATCTTTCTGTGGCTTCCCACTGTTCTCCTGCATAAAGTTCACATTCCTTCACTGAGCCTTGTCTTCAAATGTGCTACTTCGGATCCTGTTGTCCACTTCTCCTCCAGTGACACTGGGCTATGTCTTAGCCTCTAAACACAGCTTGCTCTTTGCCACTCTAGCCTCTGATCATGTTCCTACCTCTTACTGTAATCCTACTCTCCTTTAAAGCCTACTTAACAAAAAGTGTCAGGAAAATACCATCTCTACCCCTCTCCAGCTGTCTTACCTTGTTTCTGAGTCTTAGTTTAGCCATCTACCAATGGGGAATAAAACTACCTACCTTAAATAGATATTAAAAATTAAATGAGCACTGTAGCTTTTAATACAAACCTAGTACAAAGGCGCTCGACAAATGTTACTTTAAAGGCACTCTCTATTTAGAACAATTACTTTGTCCCTAAAGCGAGTTATTATCATTTATATTCATCTGATGATAAATTTTGCATTGTTGTCTGGCATCTGTAATACTGTCTGTGTTAGATGTTCATGTATTTCATATTCTCAAATAAATCAAAACTCTCAAATACACTATAAGTCTATGAAAGACAGAAGCCAAACACTACTTTTTTTTGCCATCATTAGTACAGGTAACAAAATGTCTTAAATGAATGAGATATATTATTGATAATTTATTGATATTAGAATGGGATACTAAATATATATTTAGTGTACTGATAGAGTATTTGTGGGAGGAGGGTTGTTTGAGGGAGATGTAAAAATTTTCCGAAAGAGTTGAGCAGGAAAATGAAAAAAGAAAGAAAAAAATACAGAAAGAGAAAAGGATAAAAATTAGTCAGCTTTCTTTCGTGAAAAGCACTCTAAAAATACTTCCGATTCACTAATGTCAACCAGAATATTTGAAGCATAAGCAGTTTTCATCACAACAGTTTTCATTAGATAGAAAGACACAGACTGTATTAAGTAATTGCTAATCCAAAATTTTTGATAAAACTAGCTTATTATCTATAACTAATTTCTGATGCAGACTTGTTAATCAGATACAGAAATAAGTAATAGGATTAAAGGCCTGATGACTGTTTAAGTGAAACTAATGGGTGATTTCAGGGATAAAGAAATATCTATAATTCATTATAAATGTATTTTGTCAAATACTGATCAATAAGTGGGCCATTTTACAAATGTAGCCTCTAAAAATTATTGCCTATAATTGCTTACATTTCAAACAGAATTTTATCTGCAGTATTTAGGTAGTTAGTGGCCACTTTAAATTTCACTACAAATTACTGAATTAAGCCAAAAAATAGGAAATGAGCTACTGCTCATTTAACACAATTCGTTCTGCTTATTTCAAATCTTTAGACAGATAGCTAAAACTGAGGATATAATCATATTAAGAAAGCTTATTTATTTGAACTGAAATAGATGAAGGGAATAAGCATTTATAACATAAATGCTTTGTGCATGGCAATTATGCATAATCTTATTTAAACTTAACAATCTGATGAGGCCAGTCTCCCTCCCTCCCCACTGTACAGAGGCAGAAACTGAGACTCAGGTAAGTTAAATAATTTTTCCAAAGTCACTTAAGTAGTCTGACTCCATGCCCATGGTTTCTTCACTATGCTTTCCATCAAATGCTGCCTTCATCAGATGAAAAGCTAATCCACAATAGGGAATAAAAATTAAAGATAACTGCAGAGTTAAACAAAGCAAGACAGAGCTAGGAAACAGGACAAATGCTTAAACAGAGCTACGGGTTCCCCAGGACACCGCCTGTATCTCAGATAACCAAGTAATTCTACCACCATCTTCCCAACAAGAGACTGGAAGAAGCCAATCAGATATAGTAGATAGTAGAAAAAGGCAAGAAACCAGGGTGGGGGTAGGGTTTGGGGGTTGAGGGGTAAGAGGGAGGAGGGTTAGGTGAAAGTCCAACACACTGAATGGCAAGATCACTACCTCATCCCCAACCCCCTTGGTGCCAAACGCCATGACAGCGTGGTATAATATCTACCACCCCCATGCCACCAGAAGATTGGATGATTCTTCCTGAAAAAGTAAATGCCCCTAAAAAGTATATCTATAGATTCTGACATCTGGGAGGCTTACAACAAATGGCTGGGTCCCTGACCAGTACTCTTAAAGTGAGGCCCACCAGTCTTACCCCTGCACAAAGTGCTTCCCCAAATGATTTCTTTGTGCCTCACCCTAAAAGAAAACAGTATCACCAGTAATTTGAAGAGTATAGTAATAAATACATATAGATGCAAAACAACACTACAAACCCTCTGTCTGAATTTTACTTATTCAAAGGAGGCTGTGTTTTTCTTTTTCAATAAAAAATAAGAACTTTGAAGGTGGTTTGACTTGAGAGTAAAAAAATTTGGAACTGAAATACTGCTTTTTAAATATTTTCTAGTCTAAAGTTCCTCACTTCACAGATGAAGAATTTGAAGACCAGATTTTATTTTTAAGTAATCTTTTATATCATTTTTAAAAAGATTTAAAACAACCAATGCCTACTAGCTAATTATCAGCCTTACTTGGAATCTGGAAGATTTTAAGAAACATTTATTTTTTAAAAGTTAAGATTAGTAGAATAATGTTCTGCCCTTCAAGAATCTCAATATTTCAAAATATAGCTGCAAACCAAGAAAAGTAAAGATTAGGGGAGAGAAAAGTACCTCTAAAGCCAAGTAATTTATTCTATAGAAGAGTGGAGACCTCCTTCTATAGGAGGTCCTGAATTCTTTCCAGGACCAACAGACTTCTACCTGTGCATGGAATAAGACTTTGAATTTCACAAGCATGGTTAACTGGCTTAGGAACACTAAACGGTACATCAGATAATGCGGATGAAGAGGCAATGAGTAGACATACTGGCATTAGTGTCTTTCTAATGGCAGCCACTGAGAGAAGAAACAGCTGTAGTCACGTAGAAAGATTGACTAGAGATAAAACCACAAAGAAGAGTGTACAAAGAACAAGTAACTCTTCTAATCTTAAAACTCTTAAGCTATCCATATTCCAGCACAGCGTAATATTAGATTTTTCGCAAGTTTGACCCTAAATCATCAAGAAAAAATATATATATTCTAATACAGTACAAAAAGAGTAGAAGGTAATGTTTATCAAAAAGTGAAGTAAAAAGTAATTCATGTGCCTTCAAGCAAGACAATGTATTGTCCTTAGAATAAAATGTGAAAATACAATTGAATGAAATTTTTTTTCTATTTAAATATTTCAAGAGATACAATAACTTCAAGAGATGTGATAAAGTTGGAAAAGGGTTTGGAGAAAAACAGACATTAACAAAGAAAAACAGAATCAAGAAGAAAAAGGAGCTGAATTTTATAGCCTGGGCGACTTAACTGGTGACAGTAACATGAAGGAAGTCACTTAGAATAATAACTTTGCTACAATCTAGAAGTTATAAAGCCTTTCAAATCGTGGAAAAGACTAACATAGGAGTTCACAGATTGTCTCTCCAGGATCTTCTTTAAAAGGAAGCAACAAACTCAATGTATGAGTCTTCAGAGACAATGCACAAAATGAATACAAGTGTGTGGCTATCATGTGTGAAATACATTAATCCAAAACTGCTCCTCTGTAAGTCCAGATCATATAACAGTAAGATATTGAGATTGATGGGAAATATCTGCTATTTCAATAATCTTAAATTTGTTGAAAAAAGTTGTAAATTAAAAACATACAAAATAGATATATATGTACAGATGCAAGGCCAAAGTATATACCTCATTAGTGTAATGTTTCTTATAATGGTGTGACTTTCTATTCCGAAGAATGCTCTCAGAAGTCCTGTCTGCATGACGGCGCAATGGGTATCCTGTTTCTGGACCTTCTTCACTGGAGACTTCGTCAGAGACATTTGTTACTGTCCTTTGGGTATCCTAGGTTAGGAGTATAAAAAGAGTTGTTGGTAATTTCTGACTAACCTTGCAGCTTTAAAACTGCAAAATTTTAAATTATACATACATATACACATATACCTTCAAATACCTCTAAAGATCTCAGAGTAATTGATTAGTACTACCTGATTTTCTAAAAAATGTCTTAAATCAGTGACTAAAGTAACTCAATAGTCATTTGTCAAATATTGTTCTATGACATTTCTGTTCACAAAAGGATCTGAAATGTCTAACAAAATTGAGAACGTAAAATAGTATAAAAGCAGAACAGAGACCCTTTAAAGGAAGCTTGAGAGACCTAAAATGAATTACATTATTCTCACAAACCAACATTATTCTCACAAACCAAAAATGCTATCAATCTTAAGACCAGCACTGATTTAATAATGGGTTAAGAGGCAATGAGGAGGTGACTGGTAGCTGAATGAAATACATATGAGGCAGACAACACCATGTAAATATTGATTTTTTAGAGATAACCAGATTCCAGAAGTTCTGAAACTGAGAGACTCCAGAGCAGATATTTTACTGATACTTTCATGTTCCTCTTATATGACTTTAGTAGGTAATACATACCTGGAAATGTGTTTGAAAACTGCATGACTAAAAACTTAATTTATTTGTTGACTGATGCTAGTGATGTGAGGCTCACATTACCAGAGAGTTAAATGCCTCAAAAATCTAAAATCAGAGTAAGGGACTCTGATTCATTGCTGCCCCATGCTATTTATTATATAGCTACAGGTACTGAAAATACATGTACTGTCAAGCAATAACACATACTTCACTCAAAATAGAGAATCCTCTTTTCTTCCTTTACTTTCCTCAACACACATGTTCATGCTTACGTTCCTAAATGTAACAAAGGTAACATCTTTTAATTTGACCATATATATATATATTTTTTTTTACTGTAACAGCTTTTAAAGAATAAATTATTTGGGCTTCCCTGGTGGCTCAGTGGTTAAGAATCCGCCTGCCATCGCAGGGGACACGAGTCTGATCCCTGGCCCGGGAAGATCCCGCATGCCACGGAACAGCTAAGCCCATGCACCACAACTACTGAGCCTGCGCTCTAGAGCCCGTGCTCTGCAACAAGAGAAACCTCAATGAGAAGCCCGCCCCCCGCAAAGAAGAGTAGCCCCTGCTTGCCTCAACTAGAGAAAGCCCATGCGCAGCAACAAATACCCAACACAGCCAAAAATTAAAAACAAATAAATAAATAAATAAATTAAATTAAAAAAGAATAGATTATTTAACCAAAAATCTTCAGGTAAACAAACAGAAAGAAGATATTACATTAAGCTTTGTTACAATAAACCCAGGGTTTCCTCTGGAAAAGTAAACAAACAATTGTTATCCTTAGCAAATATTTCCTCAGTAAGACTTTTCTTCAAATTAAAAACAAAACAAATGTGCTGACACCAAAGGTAACAAAGGTAGGAAAAACAAGGTAATATTTTCTTAAAGAGAACATTAATGGAAAACCAGGGTCCTAGTTCAGTGTCTAGAATAATTTAGATGTTCCATTTGAAATAAATTCTTACACACACACAGAAATGGGGAAATAAAAAGTAACGTTTAACAAATATCAACTATAAATTATAAAGTGCTTTAACATTTCAGAAAAACTGGAGCCATCAATCAATTCAGAAGGTGCCAAGTTATACTGGAAATCAGGTTTACTCACACTGCTTTATCGGATTTTCAGCTTCATCAGTGTGATTTGTAAAGGCTCAGAGAATACATTCTGGAGAAAATACATATACTCAAGGGCAACTACTATGTCTAAGTCACTTCCCATTAACTAACATAAAATCACACAAATTACTTTTAAAAATCACACTTACTTTGCTGGGAATGTTCCTCAGTGCTCCTGTGTTCCAGGTTGCCTCTTCTGCTCGAAGAGTTTCACACTGAGGTTCATGGCTTTGTACTCCATCTTCGCTGCTTTTAACAGTCTTTTTCCCATCAAGGGATACATAGCCATTGTCAGTCTCAGTTGATTTATCAATTGAATTCTTTGCTTTCTTTGATCTAAAAAGGAAAATATGTGAAGCATGTTATGTGGACTTAGCTTATTCTGGATAGGTTACCAGCAGAAATTATGATCTGTTAATAATTAAATCTGGTAGTTATTTCTCAGCATTTTAATCACTACCTTATTTTTACAATAAATAATTCAGAAATATAATATCTATCATAAAAAATATACATGTAAATCAATGTATATTGATGTATATACAGCTTATTTTATAACTTTTAAGGTCTTACAAATAGCAATTCTAAGAGACATGCCCTAACTTACCAAACAATTATTGGTCAAAATCACCTGGTCTGGACTTCCCTGGTGGCACAGTGGTTAAGAATCCGCCTGCCAATGCAGGGCACACGGCTTCGAGCCCAGGTCCGGGAAGATCCCACATGCCGTGGAGCAACTAAGCCCATGCGCCACAACTACCGAGCCTGCGCTCTAGAGCCCGCGAACCACAACTATTGAGCCCACGTGCCACAACTACTGAAACCCGCGCACCTAGAGCCCGTGCTCTGCAACAAGAGAAGCCACTGCAATGAGAAGCCCGTGCACCACAACGAAGAGTAGCCTCCGCTCACCGCAACTAGAGAAAGCCCGCGCGCAGCAACGAAGACCCAACGCAGCCAAAATAAATAAATAAATAAACTTATTAAAAAAATGATTTAAAAAAATCACCTGGTCTTTGAGCAAAATCTAGGATCAAAATTTTAGCGATTTTATTATGGTTAATAATATATTTTTAAGGTCTTATTTTTTAAAGAACTACCTCAGTTATTATTAAGTTGCAATTAGTGGTTTAACTTAGTTTTTTTTTTTTTTTTAATATTTATCTATTTTTGACAGTGCTGGGTCTTCGTTTCTGTGCGAGGGCTTTCTCTAGTTGCGGCAAGCGGGGGCCGCTCTTCATCGTGGTGCGCGGGCCTCTCACTATCGCGGCCTCTCTTGTTGTGGAGCACAGGCTCCAGACACGCAGGCTCAGTAGTTGTGGCTCATGGGCCCAGTTGCTCCGCGGCATGTGGGATCTTCCCAGACCAGGGCTCGAACCCGTGTCCCCTGCATCGGCAGGCAGATTCTCAATCACTGCGCCACCAGGGAAGCCCTTAACTTAGTTTTAATACTCTCCTTTACCCAAATACTTTACCATTAGTATGGATACATAAATATTCTGATAAATTCATTTTAATATACAATGGAGACACAGGACCTTTTGTAACACAAAGCAGATGAAGAAAAGGAAAACTCTGTACAAGATTCTACATAATGGAAGAAGTAAAAACAAAGAACGCAAAGAAAAAGAAGTAACCTCTTTCACCCACTGAAATACTCTAGAAAAAATGTTAGTAACGTAGCTTACAAGTACCTAAAAGACTACAATTGAGGTTCTTCATTTATAGGTATTAAGTTTTTCTCAATACAAAAAATATAACATGGAAAATAATAAACCATTTGATTAATAGGCAAGTGCTTGAAGAGTCCTCTTCAGAGACTACGGTGGGTGAAAGAATGGCTATCCAAAAGAAATATTAGTAGAAACATAATGTAAATCCCACATAAAATTAAAATGTGCTCAATGCAGATTAAGTCTGTCATAAAACATTACTAAAAAGCAATTGTATTTAATTATACTTAAATAAATTCCCTTGAATTTTCTCCAAAGTATCAGTTTTGCAAGACAGGAAAAATAAAACTAGTATATTGCCTTCAGGCAGCTCAAAAAACAAAAGGACTTTCAAATGGGGAAAAAATGTTATCTTTAACACTACAGTTACTCAGTTCTATTGGAATCTATCAGAACTGTGCAGGACCTTAGAATTCATCTATGCTAAATATTCATTTTGGAAACAAGGAATCAGAAATATAAAGAGGTCTAAGTGACTTATTTAAGGTCACAAAGCCAGTTAGAGGCAAAGCTGCCATTAGAACACAGACCTTCTGACTATGAGGTTAATTATATTCTCCACACTACCTCCAAATGCCCACTCTCCGGGAAACTGCCTGTTAGGATTTCTTCTTAACACACTCATGAAAGCCAAGAAAATTTCTGTCTCATACAAACAGGCCCCTTTCCTTCCTGACCTTCTCCTGCAAGACTACTAAAGGGGACAGACAGGCCATACCTCCCATATGCTCTACAGAGCTCTGATGCTTTCTGGTTCTGAAGAACACACCTCAGCAGAGCTGCAAGACTCAAAAGTCTAATCTTCTGACCCTTTTCTTTCTATATTACCCTAAGAGGCATGGAGAGACTAAGGGAATGAGCCATAGAACAAAGATCATTTAAGAGTGGCAGAGGGAGGGAGGAAAATGAATTACAATAGAGAGGAGAAAGGGCAAAAGAGAAAATAAAAGGTGCAGAGAAAACCTGTGACCTTCTCTGCCTAGAGAAGAAAGAGATAGAAATACCAGTTATTAACTGTTCCCTTTACCTCTCCCTTGAATATTGTGGAAAACGTAGATGTGGAAAAACACCAAGGGAAGTGAAGTTACTTGATATCTTAAAAATGTGAGAAACTCAAAGACAGTGAAAGTGTGTGCTGGAAAGGTATTTATGAAGCTTCATGGAAACTGTACTGGGCTGGAAAGGGAGGGGGAAGGTGGTGAATAAGGTAAAGGAAGACTGAAAAGTTGATAGAACAGAACCATTAATCAGCCAGGATATGCAAGAAGAGAAATTTATTTGGGAAGAAAGACAGAATGTTGGACCTGAAGTGCCTGGGAACATCTTGAGAAAGATCAGTAAGCAGTTGATAACACAGGCCTAGAAACCAATGGTCAAAGCAAAAAAAAAGTAGCTGTAAACTTGCAGAGTGAACCAGAACCCTAGAGGGCCAAAAGATACAGGCTTAGTGAAAAGGGCTTTGAATCAGTAATAACGGCTGCTTTAAGAATTTTTCTAAGGGGAATGTATTCTTTCCTTACCAGGACAGAGTAAAGACTATGTTAAGCCAGGGGCAAGAGTACTAGTAGCACTCTCTCCATTTACCTTTCGGCTATCTCCTACTTCCTCCCTACTTCCTCTCTTCCTTATCTCTGCCTCCTTCCAATCTTCTCTGGGTTGTTTCTCTCTCCCAATATCTCCTCGAAGTACAAGTAACACTATCAGAAGATATGAACAGCAAGTTACTAAGCTACAGTAGCTATCTGATGCTTCTCTTCTGCTAAGTGCAGATAACTTACAAACCAAGCTGAAATAACAAAGAAAACACTAAATGTAAGTACCAACCTCAGAGTTTACAAAGCAGCTCAAAATACAAATCGAGGCAGCTTGGCAGTGGCTGGTGATAACAGCACTTGCAAAAGCATTGTTGGAATGGAACAGCAGGAACAGCCCAGCAACAGCCAGTAATGGTAACTCATATGAAGGCAATTTTAGGGCAGGGGGCCAGGTACAGCCCAGAGGGGATGGGAGATGGGCTACATACAGAGGATTAATTGAATAATTATATTGAGGACAATAGGAACCAGACTTTTCAGTGGTAGAGAAGGAAGATATAAAGAGGAGCAAAGATAAAATGAACTCTGTGATATTGTATCTGAATTGGAACTACCACTGCAAATTCATGGTTTATATCTAAAGAAATAAATATAAATGTAAAAGGACACACACACACACACAAACACACACACTTTCTAGCTCTGTCCACTGAGAAGGCCCCAGGGTAGCAACACCACAATAGCAATGAGCGTATCCAGCATTCAGATCTTGGTTTCTATACACCACTCTCCTTGAAGAAGTGATTTATTCCAGGCCTGAGGCAGTGGAAGTACAAGTTGAAGCTGGAAACATTTTGTTGTGCCAGAAAGTAAGGAAGGGTTCAGAGAATGATAAGGACATGACAAAAAGACAAAGAAACTGCTCAAAGGGGCTCCCCTGGCCAAATTGAAGCCAATCTAATAACAAAATAAATAATGACAGCAACAAATTGAAAAAAATAGAAATCCATAAGTAAATAATTAAGGGAAAGCTCTTCCATAAAGTAGAATGCCAAGTAATAAATGTAGAAGGAACAATAGAGTTAGAAAAATTACCATCATTTGGCAACCACCATAATAATAATTCAAGCAAGAATCATCAATGGATACTAAAACCAGAAGGTGAAGGTGGGATGAGAAATAGGTTATTTTTATAGTTAATGCAGCTCCACATAGGACATTTGTTGATTATAAAGGAAAAAATAAATAAATTTATAATGGAAAAATACAGCAGACACTATCTTAATCAAGTGATTCATATAAATATCACTAGTAAGGGAACAAATCTACATAGTTTGCCACCTAACAGGATGCAATGATATTGCTGCCAAAAATGCATAACTGGGTTTAATTATGAAGAAATATCACACTACCAACTCAGTGATATGCTGCTAAATGTTGAACAACCAGCTATCCAGGGGTAAAAAGCTCTTATTTACAGTGATCCCTTATTCCCATGGTGTAAATAATCCTACCACGGCCAATTTCAAATACCAACTGACAACGCTGAAGACAGCGTTGGGAAGAGATATACATATTCAGCTCTCAAAAGTCACTTGGAGCTAGATCCAGAAAACCACGTGCACAAAGCCAAATTAATAGACATTCTACAAAGTGACTGCCCTGTATCTTCAAAACTGTGAAAAACATGAAACTTGAGGAAAGACTGAAGTCTGTCCCACAATGAAGGAGACAAGACATGACCCCTGGATGTGGCACATGATCCCAGATTGATCCTTTTGCTGTAAAGGATATAAATAGGGACAATTAACAGAATTGAACTGGATCTCTGGGGGAAAGATATATGGGAGTTCTTTGCACTGTTCTCTCAACATTTCTGTAAGTTTGAAATTGTTTCAAAATAAAATTATATATTTTTAAAGGTACAAACTGATTACTTTAGATCTGAGCATCAGGGACATGCTGACAGGAGAAAATGTAGGAGGGCTAAGTTCCAATAAAGCAGGTTAGAGAGGGTCAAAAATTGTGACTGTTCCAAGCAAGGTTTAGTTTTACCACTGATTGCTAT